TGTTGGCGGTGGGTGGTGATGACTAGCTGCCTTCCCTCTAGTCTTACACTGCTAAATTAGGGACGGCTAGCGCAGATAGCCCTCGTGTAGCTTTGCGCGAAATTCAAAACAAACAAGCAATTAAAAATGTAATATTTATTGAGAAATTGGCATGTCATGAAAAAATTTTATACAATTTCTGTAAATCCAGTTTGTGTTTATGTCTTACCAGAATTCTCCATCATTACGTACACGCATGCTTAGCATATCTTTATCTCTCTCAGGGAGCTTGTCCCATTCCCAGGATCTGTCACTCCATGCTCCATTCCATTCCCCTTTTCCCCATGCATTTCTCAAGCGAACCAAGGGGATTTCTGTATTTTGGGTCTTCAACTTGATTAGGAAAGAGAGAATGCTGAGTTAGTTTTATTAAGTTCTCAGTTATTTATTTAACCTTCTGATAAATCAAAAGAAACTTATTTTGGAGTAAAGTTACTAATTTCATTTCAAAATTGAAAAGTGTTATTTTACTTTCAGATTTCTTCTTTACTTAAAAGTAAAAACTTAAATATATGAGAGACCATTCATTTTCTATTGATAGTTTATTTATTATTTTGCTTTAACTCAAAAATTGCATGGGTGAAACCTTGCGTAAACAATACACCAACCTTAATGCGTCTGCAAAGACCCTATGTCGCTACGACAGTCCATTAAGCCTGAAAAATGTAAGCAGGCTAAGCACAGCGCTCCAAGCGAGAAGTTTGATAAAAAGAATCTATTCTGCTATTGGCTGCTGCTCAAGCAGGCTGCCATTTAAAGAAATCCTGCATTGTATACACACATAATAGGCTTGGTATTTATATAAACTAAAGCTATCAAAGTGAGTGGCATCATTCTAGTTTTGGTTTATGTGTTTTAATAGACTCCTCTATTGCAATATGTTTTCCTCGTTTGAAATCACGAGCATCAATTCGTTTCTTCTCAGTATTTGTTATAGTTCTCGTTTATTACTACTCAATTTTACTTTCCTAGTAGTTCACTACATCGACACATTTTTTTTTTATATCGAGAGACAGGATAATAACTGAATTTTAGTATCATAAAGTTTTCATTATCAACGGACATTGGAAATACTGTTTTCACGGCGGTGTTCTCTGTTGTTGTGTATCCAGAAAGTTCTCTAGCATCTTTGGTTTCTTTGTCAGTATTCATCCTATTTTTTAACATACTTTTGCGCAAGTTGATTGGTCCTTTGACGTCTGCATTTTTGTGTTATATTCCTAAATGAATCTGTATTATTCAGTTAATATTTATGAAGGATAAAACTACGACTGACGTTTGTATATATATATATATATATATATGTCATCGAATCCTTTTAAATAAACCAATTCCTTACGTATCACTTTTCACGGATACTATTAATTTCTTGGTCCATCTGATTGTATGTATTTGAACACACCTACCTTTGCTATGCTTGTGATACTATACACATGATGAGTAAATAGGCCATTTCGAAGCCTTATTGAGCTTTGATGATCCTGTGGAGAAAAAAGATAATTACAAATAATGAGATATAGCGCTCTCTATATAATAAAAAATAACCACTGAACGCCGAAAGATTTTTATTTTGATAACAATAATAACTCATATTGAATGACCGTTTTTAAACATTATATCGTACTTAAAGACCTGACCAAATTTTGGCATTATCTTTCATAGATCATTTTAGAAAGCAAACACTATATGTTAACTGTCACTTTGCCCCCCACCTCATTGGCTCAGCGGTACGTCTGTAGGCTTATAACGCTACAAACCAGGTTTCGATATCTGTGGTGGACACAGCATGGACAGTCTATTGTGTAGCTTTGCACTAAACAACAAACAAACAAAATAACTGTCACTCTATCTTTATCCTAGGTCAGTTAGCTTAGAAAAGGGGCGGAGCAACGTATTGACGTAACGAGAACAATGATTACACCAATAAACATGATAGATAACTGTATAGTTGTTTAATCCATGACAAAGTATCTTCCATTACTGCAAAAATATCTTTTGAATTTCAAGAATGATTTAAGATGTTTTTGGAATATGATTGTACTTGTAACAACTGGTAACACTGACCAATTTTCGTAGCAGTTTTGAGTTTGAAGTAAAACAGCACATGAGAATGTTGTCTTATAGCTTACAGTTGGCGCTAGATCCGTTGATTTGAAAATAATTATATTGATAGTCTTAAATTATCATTCATAGTTTCAAATATTACTATTAATAATTATACAAGACTGGAGAAACCTTGAAAACAAAATCAGTGTTTACTTGCTCAACACTGAATGATAGATATACAGGAGTTAATTTTATTTTATTTTTCAAATATTATTAATAATGTTTTTATTTCTGTGTTTCACTTATCGAAATGGCAGTAAATTTCCTTTTCGAGTTTTGACAATCGTGTAGTCATTAAATCGAATTATTTGTGCACTTCTCAATCTCACCCAGAAGTAATATTTTGTGTTCTGCTGGATTTTTTACATTCTGATCTTCCTCCGTTTTGAATTCTGAATTCAGATCTTCAGATTGTTATAGTTAGTTGCTATTTGTTCACTGAGGGTATCATAACCCAATTTTTAGCGTTATAATTCTTCACACTTACTACTGAGCCACCGATGGGGGGGGGGACAGGTCGTTATAGATTAGAAAACATTTCAAAATGTAAAGTTTAATGAGAAGCGAATAAGAAATTAGCTCTGATTCAGAGCTCAAATGATACATTGAAAATTATGGTTGTCTAAGATTCATGTAATAATAATAATAACAGAAAAGTTTGTTATACTTGTACAAACAATAATGATAACATGAGTAAAAATACTTAGAAACAAAAGAAACGCATATTTACAGAAAGTAGGACTTACAACGCTAGAAACCTGGGGTTTCGATACCCGTGGTGGACAGAGCACAGTTAGCCCATTGTGTAGCTTTGCACTTAATTACAAACCAACTTACTCCATCATAAGTAAAAAAATTTAAGCGGAAATTACTTCTACTTATAAGGCTGGCTAAAGTCCAGTGTGTGTAAAGGGCTAACTAATTTACTCACAACACGGGTTTTTGTTTTGTTAAAGTATGTCTACCTGATGTATAAATTTAAAAGAGTAAAAAAAAAGGAAAATAATTTCTTTCATCATGACTTGCTAAACGTTTAAAACGAAAATGGATAAGCAATGATTCTACATACAGTTCGTATAGATACAGCTAACATCGTAGACCGCAAGACGGCGCTGTTGATCATTTGATAGACGATGTGTTGGTCGTGTTCTGCCAAACAGAAACTCTGGGCGATTCCACCAGTGAGATCTTGAAGAACTCGGCCTGTCCGACCGTTGTGCAGAAGTTCGTAGCTCCCGTAGAATCTTCAAGACAAACCAGATATGGCTTAAATATTCTGCAACACGAACTAAATTAGATTAAATTAGTAACGTATAATAATAGTTTCATGTGTAAAAATCTCGAAATTTTCTTCTTTTTTTTTGGTATCATATTTTTGAAATAGTAATGTTTCTGAACATAAAATATAAATAATGCGAATTCATATAAATAACACAGGTCTGCGAATTTATACTTTATAAAAGTTGTTTAGGTTTTAATAACGGATTTTCCATAATTCAGTTACGCAGATTTCGAAAATAATAATATTTTTGTTCCTATCATGTAAGATTTTTTTACAAATTGGAAGGAAAAAAAAATCTTACTTAGATCGAATTATTATTTCATTTACCACAATGAACATTTTTTATTATAATGTTTGTTAACAAAAATACAAACAAACTGAAGAAAAGGGAAGAATATTGATGTCAAACTAAAATGCATCCTCATTCACGTGTTGTGGTCTTTCTTTTACGTATAGCGTTATGACGTTTTATGAAAAATTTGTACGTGATAGAGAAAAATGGATGTTATTTTCGGATTCAGCGTACAGGAATTACTGTAGAACATATAAAAATATCAAGACAATAAAACCCTCGCAGGCCTGTGTAATTTTCTCATTTGCATCTTATCGTACTGGTGGAAAATGTGTTACTTAAAATATTTAAAATAGTTAAAGAAATAAAAGAAGAGAAGGATTACGAGGAAACTTACATATAGTTAGTTGATGAAAGTCTAAGGAAGAGACGCCAGTCGAGTAGATAACACAACAGATTTCCACCATAAAGACCCACGTTCGAATACCAACTACAGGAATAGTATTTTTCAAGACTTCCCAGAAAACGTCAGCCAATTAGCTAGCCAGTTAGTAATTAATATATATATATATTCATTAATAATTAGACTTAAACAGTCGTGCAAACTAAGCCTACAACTTTGGACATCTAATCGTAATTTGCCGTAAGTAGTTAAGGACTGTCCAGTTGATAAAACTAGATAAAATAATTATCAAATTTTTATCCATTTCCTTTCCCATGATTTGAATATGTCTGATTTTTCTTGTTGAACAGAACATAAAGCTGTAAACTGAACTATTTGTGCTATGCCTACATCAATGATCAACCTCCGATATTAGCCCTCCAGTTTATAACGAAAGTCAATTAGTCTGAAGAAAATAACTTATATGACCTCGTATTTCAGTCACGAATCAGTAGATACAACAGATCTACAGGTATTTGGTGTTGGTAAATTGTGTACAAACTATGTAATAGTAATTGCAATAACAAAAAACATAAACATTATATAACATTGTATTATTAATATGTATTAGAATAAACTCTGAAAAATTCGGGATCATCCAGTTTATTATATTTTCCTTTCTAGAGGCTTCGTCTGGTCTCTAGCAAAACTCCTTTTCTAACCCTTCCATTCGGGGGCTTCTTAGCGATAACTCATGATAAATTCTTACTTGGCGTAAGCTTTTTCCAGCAAAGCCACCCAAAATTCTGTTGGATCAGCCGAGTGTAAATAGATGAGACGCCCTCTATTAGTTGGAAGTCGATCATCCACAATCACTTCTACCCACTCTCCAAATTTCCAAAACCGGAAGCGAAAGATACCACAGTAGCCAGGTCCAAAGCTTTGGTCCGAGGGTACTATTCTGTCGAGGAATTTGGGAGTTAAAGTGAGACAGGATATGGCTGCAAGAAGCCAGCTGTCACCTGCAACCAAAGAAACATAGGAAGTGTTAAGAAAAAACATCTAATACAAATCTCAGTTCAGTCAATGATCATATTAACAGGAAAACAAACGTAAATACCACTGATCTACTAGCACACATGCATATACACACACACAGATAATAAATTCGTATATACCGATATATATATATATAAACAGTCTTGATCAAATGTTTTAAATTATAACTTTATTCAGTATTTTTTTGTTTCTTTAGGATAGCGGTAGAGCGGGAGTCAAAATCTCTCCATTTGCTTGCTTGTTTGTCCCCCACTTTCACTACGTAGGTCAAAATCCCCTCACGTGAAGGTGTGCAAAATGACAATTTTTCGTTGATATACGCATCTATCGTCTGATAGTGATAGCAGAAACGATAATTTTATCGTTAACATATATATTACATGAATAAATTCTACGCAGACTTGACATTTTGGGGTAAGTTTCAGTTAACATTTAATTTAGAATATAGCACTAAAGGCCTATTTAGTTATAGATCATTAACTTTACATTTACTAATACATCATATATTTAACCTCACACACAAAAGAAATGTATGCAGAATTAGAATGTCGTGCGTGAAAAAGCAAACAGTAGGCCTAGCCTATGAAATAAAATTATGCCGTATGTCATAAAATAGACTACGTGAAAAGTGTAAGGCTTAAATTATAATACTTCTTGTGTACAGTGAGATTAAAGTCATGTCAGCGTAACTGGTACTCTGGTAGAGCGCTTGCATGAGGTAGAAGATGGGTTGAGCCTGAAAATTGTATTTTTATTGATTTTTCATTACCATTATAATAGACAGGCCTTTTTTGTTATATATTATTAATTATAAATCTACTAATACATCATATATTTAACTTCATACACAAAAGAAATGTAATGTATACAGAATTAGAATGTTGTGGGTAAAAAATCAAACAGTAGGCCCAGCCTATAAAATAATAATATACTATCTACCATAAACATTAAAATAGACTGCGTGAAAATTGTAAGGCTTTCATTATAATACTTATTGTGTACAATGAGATTAAAGTCAAGTCAGTGAATGTATTTTATTCTGCTATTTTTTCCTCCGGTGGTTCGATACCTGGAAGTGGATTTTTTTTTTCTTTTGATACATTTTAAAGTACAGCATTGCGTTTTGTTTGTAGTATATTTCATACATCAATGTCATAATGTGAATACGGTATTAAATTCATAAAAATATATTAAATTTACATTAAAGCAAATTCAACATAATATTACATACATATTTACGTTTGAAATTTTAATATTTCAGGAGGGATATTTGACGGGGGATAATAGAGCTAGGCTTATCCTGTTCATTAGAACGGATACGTATATAAGATAATCTAAATATTCACCATAAAAGCCTATTTATCCTTGTCAGGATGAAGTAAAAGCAAAAAAAAAAAAGCCCTGATTTAAAACAGGTTCGTAGTTTATTTTCAAAAATCAAAACTACGTTTGTTGTTTTTTTCCCATAAATATCGGAATATGGAACTGGGAAACAGAGAGAGTAGGGTTGTTGTTTTGTTTAAAAACCCGGGTAACACTGCAAGTGTGTGTGTGTATATATATATACACACACACACACACCAAAGATTAGGTAACAACCCTTAACATCTTTGTACATTATTAGTATGTTGTAGTTTATGTTACTTTTACATGTACACACACACACACACACACACACACACATATATATATATATATATATT